TTCTTCTTGAAGGCAAAAATAAATGATGGCGTAGTCGCAAATGAAGTGCAAACCAATAATGTATTGTGCTCATCTCCCAAAGTGCACCGTAGAAAATGAGAGAAATTTAGATATTTACAAAGAGTTTAAAATCTTTCTTCAAAAAACACACACATCAAGTAGAACTGCAGTTAGCAGCAGAACTGGTATTGCCTTCTATGCAGCTCAGAAGCAACTACTCAAAGCTAGAACCTGGGTCAACTTTAATACCAAAGGCCCCGCCCCCTACCAATTAGGTCACAGTGACGTTTACTCACGTGGCACACACACCTATAACCATAATCTAACAGCATCAAGAATGGCAGCAATGTTTGAACTCACAACTCCTGCTTGACAAACACCCAAACAACACGAAAACCCGATAAGTAACAACACAACTTAACTACACTGTAGATTTGCTTGTATGTGTGCACGTACTCAATGTCTATGTAGCCTATATACTCCATCAGCCATTCATGACGGGGCCTGCCTTGACTTTATGTAGGTTTTTGGACAAAAATGTATTATTTCTTGTTGGATTATGTAACAAAAAAGGATCTTTGGTGAAATATTGATAACATTCAAATTAATCAGCAGAATATAAACAACTCAAGTGGTTACAGCAGACATTTAACTTATGTTAAGAAAAAACTGTTTGCTTAGTTCTCAGTAAAAGATGGAATATTGAAATGGATTTTTCTTTCCAGAGCACTGTGTGATTACAGCCTGTTCATCAGCTGCTAATGGAAGAAAACTGAGGCACTGTAATGCCTGTGTCACTACATAAACACTCTGGCACTTTGATGGCCCTGCTTTATTACAAATTGCATCCATTAGCAATATAAAAAAAATCATAACAACCTTGGCACTGCCCTTATGCTTGCTCTAGAGCACATGTGTGATTCGGTATCTTGGGATAAAACCATGTTTGAGACATACATAGGTCATAAAAATCTCATTCTGCCATGTGTGTGAAAGCCCACACACAAGGCTATGAGACAGATTAGGATGCATGACTGTGTGTTGAGCTGGCAGCCCCACTGACCATAATTTATAATGACTCCATTGTCTTGGAGAACACAGACGTATATCAGGCGTAAATGAAGTAGGACAGGCACTTTAGCTGGGGAGATGAAGTGATTATAGCTCATGGATTAGTCTGCCTGGGTGAGGTGGATGATCAGCCTGACGCACAAAAGAGGCGTGCGCTGAAGCTGACTAACGCACATGCAAAACCTACACGTAAATACACTCGTTTATGGGACACAAAAATGGACGCATACACACACACACAACAACTTCACTATGACACTGAAACAAACACAATGTGAGCCCACAGGAAGATGATCACACTGCTGTCAAGCTGAGGTTCAGCTTGTTTACTGGTGATTTGAGTTTGCGGGGTTCAGTAGGTCCATGTCACTGTGACTTATGTTTATGGTTTTTGGTGGTTCTCAGGCAGTTAAAAGTACGAGTGGGTGTTTCATAAAGTCAGATTGCCGGTGAAACCAGGTTTATTTTAATAATTAGGTTCGATTTCAGAAACTTCTGTTTCATAACGGGGGATCAATTAAGTCTGACTTAAGCTATAATGGACACGCATCCCCTCCAGAGTAGTCTGGTTCTGGTCAGGTTAGTTTTCAGGCTCAGTTTCACCTCAGGGTGAACTAGTGTTACAAAACTGCAAAGGGGGTAAAAGTAAATCTTGATTATTCAAACAGAATCACAACCATTTTGAGGCTGCTATGCCAAGAAAGTAACAAAGTGAAACTGAAAAATGATCATTATCATGCTTTTTTCTATAAAAAACAAATAGTTTAATGCCATGTTGCATTTCTGCTTAATTTGCTCTTCATTTTCAGCAATTGTTATACAAAAAAGCTCACACAGGACTTAAACCCCCAGTGTCATGTGACCTAAAAGCAGCAATAGACTGCGTTAACTGAGGAGATCACCCAGATTGAGCTCATCTTGTGTCAAGCTTGGTTTCACCACTTGTCCACAGCATGCACTCAAAATTAACTTCAGCGCTGTTAATTGTAGTTGTTTTGTTAGTTTTTGCTTAATGTGTTACTTTTCACATTACTGTATGCGTTCTGTGGCCAAGAACATAATAACTGTATTTATATTCTTTTTTTATTTTTCTTTCCCACTGTATTGAACTCACAAAAATACCAGTAGAAGATATTAGTTTTTTTTTCATTTCAGGCTGGCACTAGTTTTTAATAAAGTGACAAGTAATAGATATGTCAGTTGAAATGCTCTGCTGTTCCAGGCTTTAAATGTGTCTTCTTTGGTTTTTAAAAGAAAGCGTCTAACAAACTGAGGGATAGTTTACCACACTAACTATATATATTGTTATTGTGCAACGTTTCTTTCATTACCACGGTGCAGATAACTTTCCATTCCTCCATCAGTTCAGCTTGAAATAACATGAAGTGACTTAACAGGGAATGAAAACTAACCTCTGCTGTTTTTATGAGAGAAATAATCTACACATTGGCAATTTTAGTCACTTAGACCCTGTCAGTTTAGTTAATCTTCTCTCTCCTTTCTGGCAGCAGAGACAGGATGATATTCAAGTTTAGATGTGATGTTAATCACATAGTCGTACCAGTTTGTCCATCATCAGACAAAACAGCAAAACACCCATATAATAATTCCCATCCTTAGGTATAGCCTAAGTCTTACTTTGATATGTGTAAAGTACTATTCAGTTATGTGTTTATTGTATACGTTTCACCTTGATGAATGTCACTTAAAAATGAATTTTCCAGAGGGTATCACTATCTCATATTAAGCACTGCATTCTTGGTTCTGGTGATGTGGCTTGTAATTAACAACCTTGCATCTTTGAACGTGTTTGAAGATTCACTGGAAACTCCAGAGCCAACAGAGCCAGTTGATAAATACATGTAGGTTCATGATACCCGCTATTTATCATCAGTGTGAGGCCTGGTGAAGTCAAGCAACCCACAGAGAGCCACCAGCCCCTGAACTCATCTGCTCAAACTTGGCTGTATGAATCACTTTAATCCTTTTTGAGTTTGTTTGGCTCATTCAAGACAGGCTCTTCACAACATGCCCTGCTCTTCTGATCCACCTTTATGAAACACATCTTATCTTTTTTATTGTGAACCAAAACTCATTTTGTGTATCTATTAATCTCTTCTTTTTTTCTACACAAAGTTAGTAGACATAGTACCCTGATCAACGAAAGCCACACATATGAAAATAACATGCACATTCCAACTACAGAGGTCCTCATTAGATACAAACCTACTTCAGTGGCACCTACTGCTCTGAGGCAGGGCTGTGAACCACTCAGGCTGCCCTGCTCAGTCACAAGCAATAAAGCATTTGATAAGACATACAGTATATAAAGCATTTGATGTGATATCTACCCGGTGGCCTTTCTATTTCACTTCATTTTGCAGGTGCTCACCCTAGAACTGGTGTCCTAGTAACATAAAATAAAAAACCTCATCATGTGAATAAGGATTCCTATTTCATTTTGTGTTCAGAGAAACCAAATACTGTAGTTTTAAAGGAAGAGTACACACTAGGATATCAGGGGGTCAGACAGATGGAGAGGAGCTCTAAACCAGGCGAGATGGAGTCCATTGGCCTGTTCAGGTGGAATAAATCAGGTTGTTTGTGAACAGAAGCCACCATCTGAGGAGGCTGTTCAGTGTCTCAGTAAAGTTTACAACCCTCCTGTTGAGCCCAAGCAAGCTTCCTCAGTGGTACTGTTGTTGTAAGGTGGATTACTAAGGTGAACTCTGTTGGTCTCTTGTCCATTGCTGACTCACTAATGGACAGTCTCCACACTCCACCAGGTGATATTTATGCTGTCTCAATATTTTGTATTCCTTTATTTAACACAACCTAATTCCATTCAGCAGAGGGACTGTTAAAAATGATATTCAATTCTTGCAAAAGAAACCCCGTGGATCCTCAGGCTATTCTGTGGTTTTCCTATGGTCACCACTATGTGGCGCACTGAGTCATGAACCAAAGCACTATGCAGCTCCGCACCCCTGATGCGGCAGGAGAAAAAGGTTTTATGGTCTGTTGTATCATTGTGTTGCCAATGATGCTGCTAATAATATAAAAACTGTTTTGCTTTTCTATAGTCAGTAAATGTGTAACTATTATTGGATCACTTAGTATATTCAGTAGTGGAATTTCCGTTCTCTGCAAAACTGTAAAAAGTCTGTCAGCTGAGATACTTAGCACATTTTTCCTGGTTTCAGGGCAAGTTGGCCAGTTAAAGAACTGTTTTAAAACCAGCCTGCTTTGATGCAGGACAGAACAATGGGAATACACGCTTTGAATGACAAGATAATTAATGTTTAGGGGAAAGTAAATCTAGTTCATTTGCATTAAAAACAGTTTAATGTCGGTCATAGCACATTTGAATATAGATGACAAATTGAAATGTGGACACTTTGAGATTATACTTACTGAAGATAAGGTTCATTCAGCGAGGGACCTGTTGTGCAGCGTGTTTATTAAATGATCTCTGGGAAGCACAGATACCTCCTAGGAGAGGGGATGTTGTTTTTGTAAGCGAAACGCCCGTCATTCAAAATCCAAGCCAATGGGACAGTGCGCAACCGTGAAACCGAACACTGCAAGAAATATCTGACAATAACAAACTATGCTGCAGGGCTGCACTCAAAGCCCCACAGGTAATTGACAGCATGTGTGTGCGAGGACCAAATCGGTCGCTTTCCAGTGGTGCTGGGATTTTACTGCCTTTCCAAAGTGGACCGACTTGCTTTGATAGGATTCTCTGCAACCTACGAAAACGTGGAGTATCATATACTGGAAACAAGGCAAAAGTGATTAACCCGTTGTAGGTTTTTTGAAATTGTATTTGTTTAGGAATTTCTTTTTATTTTATTTTATTTTACTTATTTATTTTTGAGAAAATTAGCCATAAAGACTTAATACTCTATAAGAATAAGCGCCTCAGCTGTCAAGACGAACATTTTTTGCAGTGCGCCCCGACTGGCACAAAATGAGGGAGGAATAGAGAGAGAGAGTGAGAGAGAAAGAGAGAGATTGGGGTGGAGGAGTTGGAGGAGGGGGTGGTCCAGGAGAGCATGGCCGCTGGAGCCGTAGCACTGCTGATTTGGTTTGGTTCCTCCACATTGATAACACAGCTCGTCTTGCGCTCTTGGTTATGTGGCGGAGCCGCTCGTCAGGAGACGTTTAACCCGGGGATTGTGTGCGTTTACGCGCGGTGGACAGGTTCCATTTACTGCTTGCGTTGTTCTTCGGCGGGGCAAGAGCCCTCGGGCAGCTGCGGGTTCAGTCGGAGCTGAAGCTGCTGGCTTGAGTCTTCTTAGTAATTCACACTGACCAGGAGAAGTCCCGAGCTGGAGACAGCTACGGCACAAGGACTGCGTTTCTTCCTGCCTGCATGGTTGAACATTTATTCTCTCATTAAAAAAACAAACAAACAAATAAAGCCTAAAACAAAACAGAAACAAAAAACATTTTTCCTCTATGTACGCAACGTTGACTCCTGCCTGGGAAATTCAGTGCAAGTTGGAGAAACTGTTGACTGCGCTGCGCGGAGTTAAGCCGGATGAAGAGTGTTCGTGGCTCTGCTAGAAATACTGTAGATGTTCACTGTCTGCTCACTACTTTTAAGTAGAACTCTTTGATTCAGGCGCATGATCAGTAAGATCCCGGTGCTTTCATTTTACTGAACCGAGCGAGGAACTTACATCTGTGCAGGAGTAAATTGGACTATCATCCCTTCTCATCACAACATTTCACCAAAACATCCATCAGAACCCGGACCAGAGAGGACTGTAACCAGTTTGGCTTCACCGGAGTTCCAGAGCAAATATGCCGCAGGTGGAAACGATCCTCTTCTTCCTTATCCTCATCATTGGGATATGTGTGTACGGCCAGGACCCGGCTTCCAAAGTGGTGTCCGACCGCTACGCCGTCTACTGGAACAGGACCAACCCCAAGTAAGTAAGCCCGCTCTCCCCGCAGGGACACACTGGCACAGGCTTCGTCCGCCCGCAGGAGGCGGTGGACTTCACCCTTGACGTTGCAGTTGAAGGTGTACTCTAACCCTTTTCCAGTAGTTTGGGGTGACTGGGTATAGTCAGTACACCGATTGTTTGCACTTGCACATTTATTTCAAAGTAATCCACTTAAAGAAGCAAATCAAAACATCACTTTGTATATATATATATATGTACTATTAAGAAAAGAGTGTGATATTGCATCACTTTGTCACAGTGCACATCATGATGTAACTATTGCTTTGAATAACCAGTCAACACGAACTTCTATCCAGTAAACACAAGACAAATTCCTTGTTTGTCACTCGGCTCACTCTTGACTCTTTGGTGTCTTCACTGATGGGTGTGATGGATACGGTTTAATAATCCTCCACATCAGAATCTTGTCACACAGGCGGTCCGCTATTACGCATTAATGCGCAGTGTTTGCCTCACATTCAGATCGAAAATTAAATAACGGGGAGTGTTACAAGCGCTGGCAGAAATGTTTCCGACTGAGCATGAACCTGCTGGGTGAAAATAATTCAGTCTGCTGCCATCGATTAGAATGGACAGAACACTTTTTGAGCCAAATGGAAACTCATCCAGGGGGAGTTTGGAGACAGTTATATCGAGTTTATGTTGCTTATTATTTGTCGAAGTGTCTCACTGACATGCTGCTTTGCATTTGATCCTGGTGTATTTTGTTGTGTTGGCTGACTAAAAACCTGTAGTTAAATGCTTCAGACTGCTTTCGGGTTCTAATTACAAATTTTCCCCAAAAGAACTTTAGGATATGAGCCCAGATTCTTGTAGCTTGATACTAAGTTGGCATTTTCCCTCCAAGGCACCTGCACCACCCTTGGTGACTCAGTACCTCACTCTTGACACCTACTCACATAGTGATATAATGAGTGTGTGTCATTTTGTTTGAGTTAGACTGAAATGATTTTACTTACTGGTATTAACTGGCTACAGCATCCGCATGAGTCGAAATGATGTATCAACATTTGCTCAGGGGCAATAAACTAGTTTGTTGGGCTTCAGAGTCATAACACACAACAAAGTTGCTGTGTGTCTTTTAACTGTGACCCTGAGGCAAAATGTGCGCACTCAGTTTGTTTTAGAGGAGCTGACCTGACAGGATGTTAATGATGCAAATGTTGTGGTGGTGACATCAAAGGCAGATGGAGTTCCTGTTCCACTAACAGACAGATATCTGAGTCTGATAATGGCTTTCTGTCCCCTCACAGGCTGCAGGGTTTTTTCTTCTCTTTCTCAGATAGCTCCCAGTTCCCAAGTCTGATTTCTTGGTTGCCATGCTCCCCCATCCAAGTGTCCCCTCCGCCCCCTCTCCCATCCTGCTGGCCCACGCTGGGGCAGACAATAAGGGGTACACAGGGGTATTTCAGCAATGGCCAAGGCACAGCGTGAGGCTTGGTTTTATGAGAGATTCACACATGCTGAGGTCACACACTCGCTAGTTGTGGGTTAAGGGGACCGTTGTCAGGGTCAAAACCGGGGCAGTACTGGCGGCCATGGGGCCCGGTGATGACCCTGGCACGGCGTCCCACCAGAGCTTTGTCTCATCAGAATGGGGGCTAAATAAATGAGTAACTCTAAATGACTGTCTCCTTTTCTCATGCATGACTTTAATCTAAACCTGACCGGGCTGTATAATGTAAGAAAGGGCCGTGCTTAAAGACTGGGGGCCCCCTGACCCCCAGAAAAACCTAACAGTATTCCATACAAGCTCACAGGCCCTGGAGTCCTGCTGTTTAATATAACCATACTCAGTATTGGAGCCCTGGGAACCTGCTGTGGTGCAGTCCCAACTTCCAGATGAGCTTTCTTACCCCCAACCCCCCACCCCCCCATCTGCCTTCTCTGCTGCATATTTGACCAAAGTGGGGAAAATGGCATCCGGAGCAGCAGTCCACACTCAGCCATTCATGAAATCCCCTACAGGAGATCTGGAATTGAAATAGGAAGTGAGTCGTGTAAAATGGAAATGCAGTGACATTTTCATGTTTTTCTGTTGTTTCACAAAGGCTGAAAGAAACCTTTTCGTAATTTAGATAAATGTACATTCATGTTTGCGATGTTTTCATCTCAGTAATATCTTCCTGTGCCAGTGCTTGTTGCTGATTGGGCTCAGATGAGCGGGACTGGGAGCAGTGGAGACGGGATTTATAGCCCTGAGGATGGTTCAGTTTTGCCTGGAGCTTGAAGTGCTTCCACAGTGCAGTTGCTGTGCTTTTTTGAGCTACTTAATGTAATTAAATGAATCTCTAGTATTAGGAAGCCTTGTTAGAAAGAAACTCCTAAGACACAATTGATATAATGACATCTAATTGTTTTTCATGCTAAATTCCCACAAAAGTGACCAATATGGTTTCAGATAATTGTGCAATTTTGGTATTTATTAGTTAAATGTAACTTTCTGGGTGCAGAGCCTGCAGTAAAAGCTTTTCCATTGTTCGATCTACTTAGAGTTAGTCAATTAGTCTGGGGATGTTATAAGATGTGCACATATTTGCTGTGCAGCTTTGTAAAGTCTGGCAACAGTCCTTATTTGGATACAACTGTTAAGAGTGTGTGGCAAAATAATATCGTCATATGTTTTTGTCTGACCTGTTTCAGCTGCAGAGTGGTTTCAGTATGATGTAGAGTGACATATAATTAAGACTAGTAGTACATTTTCTTGGTCATATTGACAAGGCATTGTTAGTAGTACATACATATTTTTTTAAGTTGTGCATGGTTGATGCTACTTTTCAGTGAGCCATACTTTTCAAGGAGGTTTATTAATGGAAATAAATTATTTATGAATGATGTTATATTCCTAAAGGGGTTTTTCCATTATAGGCGCCTACTGAAACGTGTGGAGCCGAGTAACATTCGTCACAGGTTCTACATTTGTTTCCACTACGGTGTGCCTGCTTTGGAGGTGTGTTCCGGGAGCTGAATTTCAGCATCACTCAGGAGCTAGTACTAAAATTAAGTTCCAGAAACGTGAAGGGGGACGGGGTACGTGCGCCCAGAGCAATCACCTGTGATTGGTTAAATGTCCGCTCTTAACACCTCAGTCATTAGCATTACAAGCACAGCGTGGAAAGAGGCACTTATATGGGTTTAGAGGTAAAAGGAGGACTTTATTGGTGGTAAGGATAATCACCTTTACTGGCCAAGTATGTTACACACAAGGAATTTGTTTCCGGCACAGAACTGAGGCAGCCATCTGTGGTGCCAACTCAACCAATGGCTCAGGGGCAATGGGGTTCAGTGTCTTGCCCAAGGATACTTCAACACAAGGACTGCAGGTGCCGAGATCTGAACCTTCAACTTTTCGGTTGGGAGACAACTGCTCAGCCCACTGCACCACTGTCGCCTCCCCAAGTCAGAGACACACCAAGCTAATGGTTGGCCATCATCAGGCCGCCAGTGAGCATCTGTCGGCGCTTGTCTTCCCGATGTGTCCCACACCATTGGCACTAGTTGGTCTGTCAGCATCAATGAGGGAAAAACCACTCTGGCTGGCTGTTGAGCTTATCAAACCGGTGCACAGGAAGAGAATGGTTCTAGAAAGCCCCTTCAGCCTACTGTTAGAGTCTGTGACTTCACTCTTGTAGTGCGTTTTCTACTTGTTTCTCAGCTCCTCAACCTTCTTTCTTCTTCCACAACCAAAATACCAAGGGCAGAGAACGGTAGTGTTATTTGCACCTTCTTCTCATATACAGTATATTCTCACTTAGAAGCAGCTATAAACAGCAGCTATTGTGAACAACAGGTATTTTGTTTATAGCTTATACTAATGTATTTCTGCATTCTAACTCTTCTTCTTTCTCTTTCTGAATGGTGAATACGGATACTGCCACCTGCTGGGGAGTTATTTCTCTCACGCAGGCATAGAATGTACGTGCTAGCCGGCCGTTGGCTGTATTTATAAACTCTTAATAAACTATTATTATATTAGATAAGATAAAATGTCCTTGTGTGATTAATAAAGCACTTATTAACTAGTACTAAAGATATAGTTACAAATTGTAACTTACAAGTAGCGGCACTAAGACAAAAACAACCCAGTGAAAGTGGGAATCAAAGTGTGGAACAAAAACTAGTGTTTTGTGGTGGAAAAGCTCATGTAAGAAAAATGAGCCGCAGATGTTCCTTCTCAGCTTCATCGTCTGTGTTAGTAACCAAACGATGGACTAAAATGTATTTACTGCTGCTCTGACAAGGAGCTATTAGTGAATTCCCAGCTCCCCAGCTATTTAGCTGCTTCATTAAAACCCACCCGGGTCCATATGGTCTGCACGCACGCATTGCTCTGGCCTAAGGTGTTTATTTGTTGCTGATAGGTGGGATAAACGGAGAATCGGGGCTGAGTTCCGTCCTTAATCTCCCAAGCTGTTTGTGTCTCCAACGCCATGGAAACTGATACTCCTCGTCATCAAAGAACCTCATTGGGTGGGACTAACGACCTGACAGCTGGAGAGAGGGATTCCAGCATTCAGGGAGTGCACTGTCACCTCAGGGGTTTTCTTTAATCCCTGATAATGCTCATCCAAAGCTTTCCCCGGCAGATGCAACATATTTCTCCCCAAGCCAATCAAAGAATCTTTTCAGTGACCTGTTTCCATGCTGGGCTTAAATATGGCTTTTGACTTGTAGAGCTCTCTCGGATGTTCCAACTTGTTGTTTCCCTCTCAGTTTCTGGGCTAACTTGTTTCCACTTGAAATGCCTCAACTCAACTTGCGCATATTGTATCTCTTCTCATAGCAGAATGAGCTCTGTTATTTGCTTTTCTTACACTGCTCGCTTTTTAATCTCCACTTAATGAAACAATACCCAGTGTTTCACTTAGTGGTGAGCTGATGTTGTGATAGGTTCCCTGTGGCATTGTGAGGTGCCCCATTTGCATTGTTCGCAGTGTTTACCCTTCCTTTTCCCTCTCAGC